ATAGCAATTTAAACCTGATATACTCCCCCCCAGGGCTGCTAACGCCAAGTTGGGAAATTCCTGGAGGTTTGGACTTGGAGGCTGGGAAGAGTGCACTTTGGGGGGAGGGGAGGGATCTCAGCAGGGTAAAGTGGCATAGCATTCACTCTCCAAAGGATCTATTTCCCCAGGGGAACTGTTGTCTGGATATCAGTTATAATTCTTGGAGATCTCCAGGCCCCACCTAGAAATTGGCAACGCTAGCCCTTCCAAATTAAAAAACATTCCCGCTCTGTTCCTTAAATGGGAAATGTTCTAAAAAAATATGTGGGTAGGAATATGTGAAGAGTTGTTTGGACAATGTTTTAGAGTGGCTGTTATGAGACTCTTCAGTAATTGAAACAATCGTGGAAACCAACATTAATTAAGGCCATGCTGTAATTTCTATGGGTATTTTGCCAAATCAGAAAAAAAAGATATAAATATCCTCTTTCATGAATATATAAGAATGAATAATGACTTCTACTAGATCAGACCAACATTGTGACCGATTTCCCACAAGCCGCTGCTCCGCGCTCGCTCTTCCCTTTGCATAATTTTTCAATTTCACACTTGTGGTGTAGTGGTTAAGTGTGCGGACTCTAATCTGGGAGAACCGGGTTTGATTCCCCACTCCTCCACTTGCACCTGGCTGGATGACCTTGGGCAAGCCGTAGTTCTGATAAGAGCTGTTCTTGAAAAAGAGCAGTTTCTGTCAAAAGCTCTCTCAGCCCCACCTACCTCACAGGGTGTCTGTTGTGGGGAGGGGAAGGGAAATGAGTTTGTAAGCTGCTCTGAGACACCTTTGGGCAGTGAAGGGCGGGGTATAAATCCAATCTCTTCTTCTTCTGTGCTGCGCGGCTGCATTTTGCCCCGCAGCTTCACCCGATTTCCCTCGTGACTACTCAGTCCTCAAAAAACAGGATTGAGTAGATGTGGGGAAAATCCAGCGAAGCTGTGAGGCAAAATGCAGCCGTGCAGCACATAGTGTGAAATTGACACGTATGATTGGGGCAAAGGGAAGAGCGAGCACAGAGCAGCAGCTTGTGGGAAATCGGTGCATGTTTACCAGCATGGTATAGTGGTTAAGAACAGCGGACTCTAATCTGGAGAACTGGGTTTGATTCCGCACTCTTCCACATGAAGCCAGCTGGGTGCCCTTGGATTAGTCACAGTTCTCTCAGAACTCTCTCAGCCCCACCTACCTTACAAGGTATTTGTTGTGGGGAGAGGAAGGGAAGGCAGTTCTAAGCCGCTTTGATACTCCTTTGGGTAGAGAAAAGCAGGGTATTAAAAAATCCCTCTTCAAAAAATTCCTCTAGGAAGTTCTTAAACAGAACAAGCAGTTTTCACCTTCTGTTCCCCCTCAGTAACTATCATTCAGAGGCATGGGCTTAATTTGATTATTGATATACATATTTTCCATTAATCTGTCTAGCCCTGTTTAAAGCCATAACTACATACTACATACTAGTAGCCATCTGTCCCTTATATATAAAGCCGTAGTCGCCTTCAACGTCCGATGCGTGCCAACAGTGTTTGGCCGCATGAACTATCGCTCAAAACCTTCCCCAGCTTCCCCTATCCATTGGCTGCGTCGCCTAAGTCCCACCCCAGAACACGGACACCGCAGCCTTGCCTCTGCGCCTGGTCCCCTCAGAAGACAGACTATTGCCGACAGGGTGAGTGGAGCCTTCGGGGGAGCAGTTGAACAGCAGCGATGGTGGCGCTGCACCAGCCGCTGCAGGCCCATTTTCGCCGCTCCCCCCCCCCCAGGTTCACAGCCCTTCGGGGGAGCAGTTGAAGGGCGGCGGCGCTGAGCTGTTCACTGCGGGCCCATTTTTGGCACCCCCTTTCCACGACCTTCGGGGGGAGCAGTTGAAGGGTGACGGCGGCGATGCTGAGTCAGCCGCCGCAGTCCCATTTGCCGCCTTCGCAGGTCATCAGGGGCAGCAGTTGAAGGGCGGCCTCGGTGGCGGTGCTCAACCTGTCGCTGAAGGCCCGTTTGCACCATTTCCCCACCACCACCACCCACTTAGCGACCCAACGGGGGAGCAGTTGAAGGCCGGCGGCAGCAGCACTGAGCTGGGCGCCGCAGGCTCATTCGCACCATTTTCCCCCACCCCCCACCTTCGCAGGCCTTCAGGGGGAACAGTTGACAGACTGCCTCAGCGGCAGTGGCGCTGAACCGGCCACCGCATGCCCGTTTGCGCCACTTCCACCCCCAGACACACTGTGGAGGGAGCAGTTGAAGGCCGGCCTTGGCAGCTCCGTTTGCGCCGTTACCCACCCTGGCTTCGCGGGCCATCGGGGGGAACAGCTGAAGGGCGGCGGCAGCGGAGGCGGTGCTAAGCCGACCGACCAAGACCCATTTTTGGTGCTCCCCACCCCAGCCGGCTACACAGGCCTCCGGGGGGGAGCAGGTGAACACTCCAGTCGCACCTATGAGACCAAGTTTTTAGGGAGCTGCACACTACACCTCCTCTGTGAGGGAGAATCTGTACATTTCAACCCCCCCAAACACTCCGGTGCCCCCTTTCAGACCACATTTCCTTCAGGTACATGTTCACCCTCCTTTGCGACTGCAGATCTCCATTCCCCCCCCCCAGAGACTCAAAACAGTCCAGTGGGACCTTAAAGGCCAGGTTTTATTCACGTACATGCTCACCCTCTCTGGGGCTACTGTTTTTCCCCCCAATCCCCAGAGCCTTTCAGCAATGTGGGAGATATCACCTTGCACCACTTCTCCCGCCCACCCCCCTT